TATATGCAGAGTACATCATGAGAAACGCTGGGCTGGAAGAAGCACAAGCTGGAATCAAGATTGCTGGGAGAAATATCAATAACCTCAGATATGCAGATGACACTACCCTTATGGCAGAAAGTGAAGAGGAACTAAAAAGTCTCTTGATGAAAGTGAAAGAGGAGAGTGAAAAAGTTGGCTTCAAGCTCAACATTCAGAAAACTAAAATCATGGCATCTGGTCCCATCACTTCATGGGAAACAGATGGGCAAACAGTGGAAAGAGTGTCAGACTTTACTTTTTGGGCTCCAAAATCACTGCAGATGGTGATTGCAGCCATGAAATTGGAAGACGCTTACTCCTTGGAAGGAAGGTTGTGATCAACATAGATAGCATACTAAAAAGCAGAGACATTACTTTGCCAACAAAGGTCCATCTAGTCAAGGCTATGGTTTTTCCAGGGGTCATGTATGGATATTAGAGTTGGACTGTGAAGAAAGCTGAGCACAGAAGAATTGATGCTTTTTAACTGTGGTGTTGCAGAAAACTCTTAGAGTCCCTTGGACTGCAAGGAGATCCAACCAGTCCAACCTAAAGGAGATCAGTCCTGGGTGTTCATTGGAAAGACTGATGCTGAAGCTAAAACTCCAATACTTTGGCCACTGCATGTGAAGAGTTGACTCATTGGAAAAGACCCTGATGCTGGGAGGGATTGGGGGCAGGAGAAGGGGATGACAGAGGATGAGATGGCTGGATGGCATCACCGACTCGATGGACATGAGTTTGAGTAAACTCCGGGAGTTGGTAATGGACAGGGAGGCCTGGCGTGCTGCGGTTCATGGGGTCACAAAGAGTCGGACATGACTGAGCGACTGAACTAACTAACTAAGGACTATGGTGAATCATTTTAAGCTATTATAAAGGTATTGTGGATAAGTTTTTTAAAAAAGAGTGTGTTTAAAGACACAAAGTGAAAATTTTCAGATGGAACAATATGATGTCAGTTTTATTTAAAAAAACAGAGGATGGATGCAGAAGGACTGGTTGATGCCAGGTTCTGGGGGCTGATGGGAACATGCATGCATGCTCAATTGTGTCTGACTCTTTTCAACCCCATAGACTGTAGTCCGCCAGGTTCCTCTGTCTATGGGATTTCCCAGGCAAGAATACTGGAGTGGATTGCCACTTTCTCCTCCAGAGGATCTTCCCCACTTAGGGATCGAACCCACATCTCCTGTATCTCCTGCATTGGCAGGCTTCTTCACCACTGAGCCACCTGGGAAGCCCCGATGGAAACAGCAGGGCTCACTATTCGCAAATGTTCCTTTCAGGTATCATAGTAGTTTAAAAGTCAATCCACTAAAATGTTTTTTCAGAAAAGGTAATTATTTTTGTTCTGTGGAGTCCAGTCAGGCCCAGTTCAGGGTGGAGCCTCAGGCCAGGTGAGATCTGACAGCCCCTTTCTTCCAGAGTTCAGATCCCCTCTAAGAACCACGGCTCTGAAGGCTGGTGACCCCTCTAAGGTGCGATCCATGTGCTCCCTCCAGCCAAAGTGAACTTTCAAAAGAACGCTTCTGGACAGTCTTCTCCCCATGGGTCCCCGCTCTGCCTGGGAAAACATGCAAACTTCCTAACAGGGCCCCACAGCCTTGTGTGACCTAATTATTTTTCGTTTCTGGAACACACTGCGTTGGTTCCACCTAGGGTGTTTGCATTCACTGTCCACCTGCTTGGAAAGGTCCTCCCTTCCTCTTCTCCTCACCTGGCCAATTATCCTCCACGCCTTCTTCTAAATGTGACTTCCTCACACACCTACCCCAAACCATCTCCCTTCCCCAACTCCATTTTATCCTCCCTGCAGCTGTGTTTCAAAACATATGTTTCTTTTTTTTCCTTTATAGCTGAGGTTCTCAATCAGAGGCAATTTCTCTCCCAAAGGACATTTGGCAAAGTCTAGAGGCATTTTCCAAGAGTGGCTGCTAAGGGGAATGTGGCCAAGGATGTTGCTAAACATCCTATAATGCTCAGGACAGCATCCCCAGCAAAAATGTCAACATGGGCCGAGGTTGAGAAAGCCTGCTGGAGAGCAGTTTCTGTCATCTGTCACTACATATTCACTTGTGTGGTTACTTGTTTAACGTCTGTCTCCAGCGGTAGACTCTTAACCTGCCTGCAGGCAAAGAATATGTCTGTTTGATTCATCCTGATTCCCAAGTGCCTGGCACAAGTGTTCAGTAAACACTGGGTAAATAAATAACTGTGTTAGCTGAGGTCTATCAGGCGCTGACTCTGCCAGTCAACAGTCCTATGAATTAAGAACTATTAGCTCCTCCATTTTACAGATGAGGAAACTGAGGCTTGGGGATCCCTGGGTACATGTGGGGGTCTGTTAACCAGAATATCTGGTTAGGCCGAAGGACACACATGAGTGACTCACCTGAACTCCCTCTCCTGGGTCTGAAAGTCCCTTGTTTAGGAAAATTTCCACCCGAGGACAGGGGATTGGCACCTTTCTGTCGCTGTTTGGACCTTTCCCGGTAGAGGAGAGTGACTATGGGCCAGGTCACTATGCCCCCTTGTGGCCATTACCGGGATTGCAGCTTCCCCAGTGGGGAAAAGGCCCACTTCCCTCCCTGGCTCTGGGAAGCAGGGTGACAGGCCCCTCTCCACCACTGCCTGGAGGAAACCACACCTCTGGCACCCAGGCTAAAGGCTGCCCGAGGGGAGCTTAGCCTGAGGCAGCCAAAAACAGAACAGGGAAGTGAACGGCCCAGCTCTGCCATTCACTGTGACCTTACCCTCTCTTTCCAGGGCCTCAGTTTCCTCATCTGGAAAATGGGAGCATCAGTACAGGTCTGAGGCTGGGGTGAGGGAGAGGCTCCTGGAGGCCCGGCACTCACCGAGGTGTAGGCCCGCCCACACATGCTGCAGCAGTAGGCCTTGGCATGCTTGATGGCGTGGGCCGAGAGGTGGATCTGCAGGGAGGCGGAGTCCGAGTAGGCCCGGTAGCAGTTGGGACACTTGTAGGGCTTGTCCTTGTTGTGCTGGCGCTGGTGAGACTGTGGGGAGCACAGCGGGGTCAGGAAGCAGCTGGGCTCCCCTGGAGGGGGTGGAGGGGGCCGTGCACCTAGCAGGCGGAGCGGGCAGGCAGGCACTCACCTGGAGGTTGGAGAGCTGAGTGAAAGCCTTTTCGCAGCCAGGATGTGGGCACTTGTAGGGTCTGTCGCCTGTGTGGATTCTGCAATGGGGAGTCCAGTGAGGCGGAGTCCCTGGCAGGTCCCCCAGGCCAGCTCCGGCCTCCAGGCCCTTGGCTGGCCTGTCCCACACCTCTGGCCCCCAAGCCTCCCAGGCTCCCTGCTCCACACATTTTCCCCCCCAACCCCGAGTGAGCCCCAGGCAAGAGCTGGGGCTCTTCAAAGGCCAGCCCTGTCCTTTCTTCTCCGGCCTCCCACTGCCGGTCTGTGACCAGCGCCTCCAGGCTCCTCACAGGGCCCCACTAAACCCAGCCCTCCACCAGCACCCACTCAGGCCTCACAATCATCACAGTGGGCTTACTTTGACTGCATTCTGCCCCTCTTCTAAAAAAGTCACCAGCAGACCAACCCACTGAAAAGAACAGATTCACAGCTTTGCCAGGACCTTTCCTGCCTGCCTGCCTCTCTTAGGAGACAACTCCCCAACTGGCCCCCAGTTTTCATGTCCTGCCCCCCCAAAGATGTGGCTATCTGGTCACCCCAGCTACTGAGAGACTTCAGGGCAGGGTGGCCCTGAAGGTCAGCCCCTCTGTGTCCTTTCTGTGAGCCCCTTTTTGTTCTCATCTTGGCTCCACCATTTACTAGCCGGGTGACCTTGGTCAAATCACTGTGCCTCTGTTTCCTCACCTGCAAAATGGGTATAAAAACACAGTCCCTACCTCACTGGGCTTTGTGAAGATTACATTAGATGATATGCAAAGGGACTTAGCCAAATATCAGCACGAAGTCAGTACACCATCATCACATACCATTATTATTATTATTCATTCATTTAACAATTACTGTGTCAGGCACCTGGGTGCCAGGCACCACCCTGGGTGCTTGGAACATATATGTGAACAAAACAGACAAAACTCACTGCCTCATGGAAACAAACAACAAGCGTGAAATAAGTAAGTAAAGCGTGTGTAGAAGGTAATAAGTGCTCAGAGAAGAAAGCGGATGAGAGGGGTCATGTCAGGGATGCAATCTTAATTAGGGTAATGGGGGTCCTCACGGAGAAGGAGACTTGGGAGCAGTGACTTCAAGGCTGATGGCTGAGCTTTCTGATGGCTGCTGCCGCCTGCACTTGCCTAGCAGCCAGGTGAGGATGGAAGCTGACTGGGATCCAGTACAAAACCGGGGCTCAGGAGCGCGGCACACACACACAGACGGGAGACCCTCCCTGCTCTCGTAGGCTTGTCCTCAGTCACCTGCTCTGGCAAATCCTGTGCCAAGCAGATGGGCAACGAAATGCAGGCTAGACATGGACCTCTTTTGCCTAAGTTGCCAACAAGCATTAGATGGGAGGGGGAAATCCAGCTCTGACCACGTGGTCCAGCTCCTTCCCGAAAGCCCCAGCCCCCTGGGTTTGCTCTACCCATCAACAGACTCATCAAACAACTAAGGTTCCTCTGGCCAGGCCCCATGCTGACCAGGCTGGAATAAAGAACACTCACTGCCATCAGTGAACCCATGGCCTTGACTGCCCACTATGAACACGGACAGTCCAGATTCCCTAGAGTGCCATCAAGGCCCTTCACCTGCGGTCGGCCTCACCTCTCTGCTCCTGCACCCTGCGTCCTGGCAGGAGGACCATTTCTCATCTGCAACCATGTCTGATGGATGCTTCTGCTCACCACCCTTGTGCCCTGGCACCATCCTCAGCATGCGGCCGCCCCTCCTGTCTTCTCTACTAGACAGGGAGCCCCAACGGCAGGGACAGCGCATCTCAGGCTGCGTGGAGACAGGCCAGGTGGAGCTGGGCTGCAGTTCTGAGGACCTCTATTCTACCTGCACTTTTAGGGGCGTCACATGTTTGGGGACATCATCCCAGGCTGCTGCACCCCATCTCTACAATGGGAGCACCTTAACGGTCACCTGGACCAGTTGCGCCTGCTGCCAGAAACCTTCCATTTCATCCTATCCTCGCCCCCCCCCCCCCCCAGGGCTGTGGAACTTGATCAGCTAGGGGTCAGGTGGCAGAGGGGACCAAGGCACCCCAGGATGTATACTGATTTTAAACCCCACAATGCCCACCCCAAAGTCCATGCCTCCCACTGCTGCCCAGGTCATGCCTCTTACCCGCCCCAAGGCTCCAGCCCTGCCACCCCCCTCCAATCCCACCCGGAACATTTCAGTCCCTTCCTACCTTCCGTCCTGTATCCAGACTGCTCTTCTAGGCACACTCTTCCCCCAGCTCATACCTGGCTAGAACCTAGACTCCAGGTCTCAGTATAAAAGTCCCTTGATCGGGGAAGCTTTTCCTGACCCCCCAGCCTAGACCTGGCCCCTGCACCTACCCCCGAGCAGAAGTCCGTGTGTGGGCACGTGCTTTGTCAATGTCTAGTCACTGACACTGGCTGCCTCCCTCCGTGAGAGCAAGAATGCTCTTGGTCTCTTCACCACCATCATCCCAGGGCCTGGCACAGGCTCCTCAGAGAGGACTCGAAACATAGGAAGGTGAGTTCTTTCCTCCTGAGGTCAGTCACTGACAGCATTACTATGCTTCATATAATCAACACCACCTACCCCTCAGTGGTATTACGAAATACCTTTCTTGTGTTTGTTGACGGACTGACTGATGGTTCTCCAGGGACATCAGGTCCTTCCTTCCGACACTGCTCCTCTGGCTTCCTCCCTGAGTGCCACAGCTGCCCAGCCTCCTTCCTAGACTCTCAGCCTCAGCCTCTCCTCTCCTGACCTCCACCACAGCAGCAGCGTGGGATCCGACCTTGTCACAGCCCTGCTTTGCACCCCCTACATCTCCCCCTTTTCCGGGAGAATCCAAATCCCCAGGCCCCCACCAGCCTGTGAGCCTTTGCTCATGCCGTTCCCCCAGTTGGGAACACCATTTCCACCTCTCACTAGAAAGGGCTACGGACCCTTCCACTCCCAACCCAGATGATCCTCCCCAACCTTCACCACATATTTCCTGCTTTCATGGGATTTTTCACATCCATCAGCCTCCCAGGTCATGGTAGGAGTTCCTTCGACCCAGAGCCTGCCTCTGGCCACTGATCTCTTGTTATGCATGGCACTCAGCACTGGGCTGGCTGGGAAGGGCTTCAGGAAGCCACAGTTCCTCTGATAACTGGCCCCCAAGCTCTTCAGCCTCTGAAATTCAAATCAGGGCCACGTCCTCAATTCCAACAGGAGTCATCTCTTTGCAGGGCATCTTCCCACTAGGGGAGCACCCAGCCCTGACTCCCAACATCTGTAGTGATGGGGGGGAGCTCACCACCAACTCCAGGCATGGGCAGTGCAGGGAGGCAGAGCTGAAATCAGTGTCCTGGGCTGCTCCCTCACCCAACTAACCACCCCAAGCTCACCCTGGCATTCAGAAGACTCGCCTTGCTCTCCTGCCTGGACCTCGCCCCACCTTCTTCTGCAGCCTGACTTCCCAAACCCGCCTCCTGCACCCCTCTTGCCCCGCACCCCTGCCAAGCCACAGGCTGCTCCTCGGCGCTCTGGCTTGCAACTCACTTCTGCCTCCTCTTAGCGGGGTGGCCTTGGGCAAGTGACTTTGCCTCCCCGAGCTCCCATTTCCTCACCTCTAAAATGGGGATAACAATAAGGATTGTAGGGACTTTCCCAGTGGTCCAGTGGTTAAGAATCTGCCTTTCAATGCAAGGGACTTGGATTCAATCCCTGGCCTGGGAACTAAGATCCCACGAGGCAACTCAGCCCACGTGCCACAGCTACTGGGCTTGTGCTGCTGCTGCTGCTAAGTCGCTTCAGTCGTGTCCAACTCTGTGCGACCCCATAGACGGCAGCCCACCAGGCTCCCCTGTCCCTGGGATTCTCCAGGCAAGAATACTGGAGTGGGTTGCCACTTCCTTCTCCAATGCGTGAAAGTGAAAAGGGAAAGTGAAGTCGCCTGTGCTTCCCACAAAAGATTCTGCATGCCGCAACTAAGACCTGACGCACCCCAAAATAATAAATATATTTAAGTATGGATTGTTAAGGACTGTAACTTACAGAAAGGGTGTTCCTAAGACATTTTCACAGCGTTAGCTTTTAATAGACTCACATCTCTTTTAAGATAATTTATGAAAAACAAAGGGGGAATTTATTCTATGTTTAAATAAAATTATGGAGAATTCATTAGTTACCATTTATCCTTTACCTTCCAGGTAAGAAACGGCATGTTACATTGAGTGGCTTTAGTCCCACTGTGTTTCATAACTAAAACAATGATGGATACAGTAAAAACGGACCTTCCTTGAGATGGTTCTCTCTCTGTAGCACTTTTCAGATTCTTTATCTCTTATTTAGAAATAGGTTAGTACTGTGTAAGGACTTTATGGATATCTTGTATATATACAAAGTATGTATAAGGCATACCGTGCATGCCTTACACGGGAACGGACACTTAGAAGCTCTCTGACAAGCAGCAGTTGCTGCTAGGATGTGACTATCATCACACTTGAGAAAACTGACCCTGCCACAATTAGCATCACACATGTACACAACATCACATAGCCAGGAGAAGGAAAACAGAGGCAAAGCCCACTCTGCAGCCCGAATAAACAAGCACAACCAGAGTCACTCTGTCTAGCAGATGTTCCCCAAACAGGTAAAAACATCGAGCCCTTTCTCAGACCTCATAAACTAGCCCCCTCATGAGAGTTAGTTTATGAGGACTAACCCCCTCATAAAACAAGGTTATCCCTGATTTCTGCATTGTGGCATCTACAGATGTGTTACCTTCTACAGAAACACAAGACATCTGCTGTATCTCTACCATGAACAGATTCACTACAAATTCCTGTTCATTTTCTCCTTAAAGACACGTGGTATTTATAACTTACAGGGCTGACCCTTCTGAAGTCTGGATTTCTGCAAACACTTTGCGAGTCACCTTTCTCGTCTTGTACCTTCCTTTCACAGATGGAGGTCCCACCGAGATGCTCCAGAGCTGCCAGGCCACTCAGATTGCACAAACCCCTACATGCTTCCAGGCACATCCTCCTCAACTCCCGGGGGATCCTGCTCAACCTGC